GAACCCGCGACCCGCAGATTGCGAGTCGAGTGGCCTAACCACCTGGCCATGCCGGGCCCTTAAAATCAGAAAAATATTAAAACAGGTTTGATTATGATAAAAACTACAGTATCGAATCTCAGGGCCGGATTAAGGAAGGAGGTGGTAAATGTACTGGTTCCTCAGGATAGAAGGGGCAACCGACAAAATAATAAACGAAAATTAATCTAAGAATGGATGTCTCATTAAAAAAAAATATGCTTACGTCTTTTTCACTGTGGCAAAGGCGATTTTAGTCATTTTATATAAGCTTATTATTTTATAACTTTTCATTAACACGTTATTACAGGTAGTTCTTTCATGAATACTTGCTCGGCCATTTTACAACAATTTCGTTGTTATTACTTTATATTTATTATAAATATTAGAATTAGTATTTTGTATGTTATCTAGTCATCGCGTGTGTTTATGTATTGCTCAAACTGTAGTTAATAAATAGTATTGAATTGACTTATTTATGAAGTTAAGATTGAGGGGGCCTTAATCGGGCTTTGCCTAAGCCTACAATATAGAAAAATTCATTGAGCAGCTTTGGTACTTGAATTCTATTAAGATTTTCAAAATAGAATGTTTTTCCGAAATGAAAAGATTAAACCATATTCTTATGTATAAGTTTGCCGATTAAATTGATCTCCAAACGTCAAAGTCATACCTACTTCTAACTCTGTAGATAATAATAAAATTAACAACTTGTTAATTGAAAACATTTCAAAGTAAATGTGTTACATATAATGTATAATAGTTATCAATTAGTCCTGCCACATATACATATATATTGGTCGATGCTTAAACAGTTGTAGGTCCGATTTAATACACACACACACACACATATTCAAACACATGTTATATATAGCATAGAGGTAAGGTTATACGTCATTGGGTCAGGGTGTAGTTGGAATGCCAAGAAACACCTTGTATCAGGAATAATAGTACACGTTTAAATAATGTGAAAAATTAACAAGTTTGTTCAGTTATTTCCTGAAGTCCCTTATAAATGCAAGGTCCTACTTTTAGTGGTGTTCATCGATCTCCACTCCCCCCCCCCCTACTCTCATTTGCATGTCCTAATTTATAATATTATACCTGTAGAAACAAATTCTATTGAATTTGTGTAGTTTATCACAAATATACAACAAAATGAAAAAAAAATCAGACTTAGATACATATTGTAAAACATACAAAAACTAAAGTGTTTTTTTTTCTTTTTCTGTAGTATTGAATACGGAATTTAATACACAACAACATTTCGAACATGAAGTAAGTTTAATTAACACAAGTCATATAAGTATTTATAGGAATTTTTTGATGTAGGGCCTCACAATTTATAGGCGACTCGCACATAAAAATAGGCGAAAGTTTGTTAACATGTTGGTAGTTATTTGATGCCAGCACCTTATAATTTTTATTTTTTTTCCAGTTTCCGTGGACCACTTAACGAGTTTTGTAATCGTCGTTACATGTATTAAAGCTGCTAAGTTTTTCTCCTCGTTTTTGTGGAGGTTAGTAAATCACTCATTCTTAATCTTATAACCTAAGACGTACTTATTCAATATCCATTCATCTTGCTAAAACTTTAAGAACACTCATTTCTTTCTGTTCAATACTTTGTTCATGATCGTTACCAGGGCGCGTTTCTCGGGTGATTCCCGCCAACTGTCAATGTGACGTAAGGCTTCGTTGCAGTGCTTCTGTGCCAACACTTTCGTCTGTTCCAGGCCCTCACTCTAAAGAAAATACATTACTGAAAACGTGAAATATTTATATACATAATTAAATTAAAAAATTATACCAAATATGATTCATGCTTTAGTGAAGTGAAGCTAGCATAGATTAGAAACGTAGACATAAATCCAACAGTTGCAAGTAAACTACCTGACTACCGTAACAAATCTCTAAATATTGTCGTATACAGTGAAATCAGAGAAGGTTATTTTTTCTTTGCTAAATTTGTTTGTTAAGCACACTAAAATTGTTTCTTAAGAAACAAGTAAGTAAATTTGACGTATATCGGACAGGTCAATAGATATTTCTAGGCTTTCACAGTCTCTTCCTATAACAAATATTCTGTCAGTATGTAAGCAGGGCCGGGATACTATAGAGAGAGTTAGGGTGGGAAGGGGGAAATGGGTGCAACTGCCTAGGACTCCTCGGATCAAGAGAAAAATGAAAAATAATTAATCAAAAATTGAATTTCTCATTAAAAAAACATATGTTTGCAACTGTGTCGCTACGACAAAAGTGATTTTATTAGTTTCAAATAAACCTATTATTTTGTAACTTTCATAAACATGTTATTACATCTTGTTCTTTCATGAATATTTGCTCTGCCACTTAAAAAAAAATCATTGTCATTACGTTAAGTTTATTATAAATAAGAGAATTAATATTATCTATTCATGGCTTATTTTTGAGGATTGATCAAACTGTAGTTAATAAGTAGTGTTAAACTGTATTTGACTTAGTTATGAAGTTAAGTTTTGAGGTCCCCCTTGCAAAATTTATCTCAGGCCCCAAAGTCTTTATGGTTCTGTATGCATGTTGTACCACATAGATAGAATTTATCAAGGGATTCTCAACACTGACGAAGTTTCGGTCTCTTTGTTGAAGTATTCCCGTCTTCTAATATTACTCATTTTCAACCACAACCTTAGGATTATCAATACTATGGATGTTTCAGGCAACATACTAAGTCAAGCTGTTTGCAATGCTTGATACTAAGGATGTTTCAGGCAACATACTAAGTCAAGCTGTTTGGAATGCTTGATACTAAGGATGTTTCAAGCAACATACTGAAATTTTCTGTTGGAATGCTTGATACTATGGATGTTTCAGGCAACATACTAAGTCAAGCTGTTTGGAATGCTTGATACTAAGGATGTTTCAAGCAACATACTGAAATTTTCTGCTGGAATGCTTGATACTAAGGATGTTTCAGGCTACATGCTGATACTTTCTGTTGGAATGCTTGATACTAAGGATGTTTCTGGTTATATGCTGAAACTTTCTGTTGGAATGCTTGATATTAACGATATTTCAGATTATATGCTGAAAACATTTGCTGGAATGCTCGATGCTAATAACGTTTCAGGTTATGTGCTGAAGCCATGCTGTTGGTAATGTTTAATGCTAACGATGTTTCGGAAACATACCAACATTTCCAGGCATTTGCTCTCTGTAAAAAGGTTCTTGTACCTGCCTTATTACTTAAAAATGCTTAAACCTTTCTTTTGTGTTTTTAAAACAAAGACGTATTTCAAATATCAATACCTTCATTACTGCTTCATAGGCTTGTTCAACGTCACCAGGGTGCGAGAACCTCCTCATTATCAAAGTATTCAGTTCTGGAAACTAGAAAATAAAGGGAAAAATGAGAATATAAGAAAATATACCAAAAGAAATTTAATAAAACTCTATATATGTATTTTTTGTTTTCAAAAATTTTACTACTAGTAGAAATATCTGTAGAGATAATGGAAATAACCATCTTGCGTCTATTTTTATCGGGTCAGTATAACTTCTTTTATTGTAGATTACCAGAGTTGATGACAAATGGTGCTGAGTGGGGGCTGTTCAGAAGTATTTCAGTTTACGCAATGAACTACATGCTTTCAATTTTGTGTTACCAAAGGAATTAATAAGCATTTAAGTTTTGATATGCAATTTTAAACACCATCGTTTGTATGTGTTCTTGTGAAACTTTGTGCTACGAAAGAAGTTCAATGATGTAAACTTTAAATGACATTGAAACTACCATGAATAATAATTGTATAACATGCAGCACACCTAGTTTCTCATGTTACCTTTAAAACTGTTTAAAGAAAATAATAAAATTAAAAATACTCAGTATATATCATATAAACATTTGATGAATACAGAAATAAAACTCGTTATGTATACCAATTATTTATCAGTAACAATTTTAATTAACATGCTCATGCATCAAATAAATATTTCAATATAAGAACCAGTTCATTCTGTACTTTAGGAATTCATTATGCAAAAGTAATTTTTTTCCGATATTTAAGAATACGTAACGTAACAGGCGATTTTATGTTAAATCCGTTATAATATTTCCAAATACTTTCAACATAATATATATATATCACATAGCTAAAGTATCTAAATTATGTTCTTACTAAAATTAAACAGACGAAAAGTAAGTTCACATTATCATTATTTTTTAACAAAACTTTTTTGTTTCTTCCAGAGTAGATATCGATTTACATCGGAAATTACTACAGTTATGTAAATGCGAGTCTTATTTTTAAATCGACAGCATTAAAATACGAATATTACCACTTTCAGATATATAATAATTAAAATTCTAATGTTCGTGCAGAGAAAAAGAACGTTAATAATTTTAACCCTTCCGTAAAAGACTGCTCTAGTTACACAGTGTATTTCTGATTATTTCATACCTGAATAGATTGACATTGTTTTATTTATAAAAAAGAGAAAAACCTCAATATCCGCGGCTGTAATTAAATCTCAAACCGGCCAAGAGATGAAGTTATGAGCCGCGGGTAAGTTTGTTTGTTTGTTTTTTTAATTATGCACAAAGCTACACAAGGGCTATCTGTGCTCTGCCCACCACGGGTATCGAAACCCGGTTTCTAGCGTTGTAAGTCCGCAGACATACCGCTCTGCCACTGGGGGGCGCCGCGGGTAAGAATAAAAATTAATACATGGAAAAGTATTTATTAATTACTTTTTCAGAAATTAAAAACAAGATTCTGAAGGGTTAAAAAAAACACTGGGACTTTAAGAAAAATTAAAACTGGAACCATTTGGTTAAGCTTGGTTTTTGTCTGATATTAATTTACAGTAATAATTTACCAGCTGTTTCATATTCAACATCATGGTTGTTTGTAAAAGCAAATCAAATTTTTCTTTACAATGAAATATTTTCTTACCTTTTCGCAGGCAAAAAGAACCGGTGATGTTGCCAAACCCAGTTTTAGATCAGCTGCTGCGGGTTTTCCCATTTCATCTTGACTTGACACAAAGTCCAACAAATCGTCAACCAGCTAAAAGTAAAAAAAAAAAAAAACATTTCACAAAATCCACAAAATTGTCAACCAGCTAAAAGTTAAAATGTTTTCAAAGAGTCCAACAAATCGTGAAATTGCTGAAATTAAAAATAATTTAAACACGGCCCAACAAACTACCAACCTACTAAAATGGAAAATAGTTTGCACAGTCCAACAAATCGTTAACCTGTCTATGTATTTAGCATTTGTGGCAAAGCTACAAAGGCTGTCTGCCATCATCCTTAATTTTGAGCAGCTAGATAGCAGCACCTTACCATTCACTATCCATCCTAAGGGATTGACTGACAATTTTATAACGTATTCAAAGCTTAATGTGATAACGCATGAATTCGAAACCTGCTCGCCAGCTGTGATTTCCAGAGCACTAACAGAGTGTCAACCCGCGCCCGTCTTCAACGTACTAAAGGTAAAAACAGTTTGCACAAAATCCAACAAATCGTCAACCAACTAAAAGTTTGTTTGCTCATTAATAGCAAAATTTCACAATTGGCTGTTTGTGTTGCACCTGCCGCAGGGACATAAACCCAATTTTTAATTCTATAAGACACCAAGCTTACTGGGGAGAGACACCACATATAAGTATATTTTTTTCAATCGACATACTGATTTCTCTAAATAATGGCTAGTTTCATATCATTTGGCCCCCAGTGGCACAGCTGTATGTCTGCGGACTTATAACACTAGAAACCGGGTTTCGATAACCGTGGTGAGCAGAGCACAGATGGCCCATTCTGTACCTTTATGCTTAACTTCAAATAAACATATTATTTGACAAAGTTATCATACCAATTTCAGTAATAATTTTTTTGATGTTCTTCGGCACAAAGCTACGCAATGGGCTATGTTAATGACGACGAGAAACCCACTTGAGGTAAAAATGTATCGCAGAGACGGCTGGCATGGGTATTAAAAACTTTAATTAAAATAAAGTACAAGAACAACGTTTCAACCTTTTTAGGTCATCTTCAGGTTAACAAGATCGAAACATTGTTCTTATACTTTATTTTAATTAAAGTTTTTAATACCCACACCAGCCGTCTCTGCTATACAATGGGCTATATGTACTGTGTCCACCACGGATATCGATATCTTATATTTAGCGCGGTAAGACCTCAGACTTACCGCTGTGCCACCGGGGGTCTTCCGGTAATTAATGTCTGGTTGAACAATATTCAAAGTAATAATCGTACCATTTCCAGATCAACAATATCTGACGAAATCAACAACCCGGTTTCTGTAAGTAATGTCAAGTTTGACACTATTTGACAAAACAATTTACCAATTTTAGTAACAAAAGCTAATTTAATATTATTTATCGAAAATAAAAACTCTTTATTAATTTGTTTGTTTTCAAATTTTCGCGAGAAGTTACACGAGGGCAATTTGCGCTAGCATTCTCTAATTTAGAAGCAATAGAGTAGAAGGAAGGCAGCTAGCCAACACCACCCACCGCCAACTCTTGGGTTACTCTTTTACCAACGAAAAATGTGATCGATCGTCACATGATAACGCCCTCACGGCTGCATGAGCGAGCATATTCGTTGACGGGATTTGAGGAAATTTAATAATAATACATACACACACACACATATATATATTAATATAATAAGATATTTTATATTGGTAAAACTATTAGGAAAGCACAACTCCATCTATTAGTAGGTCCATCCTAATGAAATGTATCTGTGCATTTCATGGTTCACTACCGTGTAGGGTTTGTAAAAGACAGCGGCTCCCACATTCGCCAGTTAAAACAAAAGGAGCTGACGTACCTTCAATGAAGGATAGCTACTGAATGTAGTATTGGTTGTATGAGTGGCTAAAGCTTCTCAGCTCACCTATTCATTACATCAACCCAATATGTGTAATCTGCTACTAAAGAAATGGAAGATGACTATTCGTGCTAATGTGGAATAATCTTTCCAAACAAATCACCCAAGTTTTGAATAAGAGATATCCCGCGAGCTTCGTACTGCTGGGCTGTAGTTTTTAATGTTACACCAGACAACTGGTTAAAGATTAACATATAAAGTATATCAAAGTAGTTTTTAACTTAAAAAACTATTGCATTTACAAATTCATAACTAATTACATTTTTTTTTAGGATTTGCATGTACTGATGTTTAGAGAGCTCGACTCGCAACCTGCGGGTCGCAGGTTCGAATCCCATCACCAAAGATGCTCGTCTTTTCAGTCGTGGGGAAGTTACAATATGATGGTCAATCCCACTTTTCATTGCCATAAGAGTAGCCCAATAGTTGGCGGTGGGTGGTATTGACTATGTGCGCTCCCTTTATCTATCACCTCTTAACTAAGAAAAGCTTTTGAATAGCTTTGCGGTAAATTCAACAAACAAACTTTTTTATTCATGATGATTTGCGGTAAATTCAACAAACTAACTTTTTATTCATGATTTACCACCTCTGTCTAGTACTTTAATATTTCCAGTCAACAAAATTCAAGATAATTTAAAAATCGTCATATTATATGCTATCTTACCTGAAATGCGATACCAAGATTTCTGCCATATTGAAACGCTCCTTCAAGCAGAGTTTTATCAGCTCCACCTAGGTAAGCTACCTAGATATGTCAATATTTCAAATTTAACATTTTATTCTTTCAAGTAAAACAAAATCAAATAATCTATATTTTTAGTCTTTCTCACTAAGCTTTATAACTGTATGACAATTTGGATGGCAAATATTAAAATTCAGAACAAAATGATTCTATTCTTTCCTTGGAAAATTAACAAAAATTTTCACAAACTTCACAAGTTCTGTCAAATATTTTTGAACAAGTAGGTTAATGAAAGATAACCGAAAGGTCATGAAATAGCTTAGAAAGATATCTTTTAAAAAAGTAGTGTAAATAAATCATATAAAATGTTTAGTTTCAATATAAGTTTCAGAAAATGCGACAAATGCATGTCAACAAAGAAAAACAATAAACGAATGGTGGAAACGTGAGGTGGCAACGATACTGCTGTCAACAGTGTGGTACTAGAGCAAGGTTCATGCGTTATGTAGGACTTAAACAGTGGATAATGGTAAAGCAACACAGAAAAGTCAATAACAGCAAATCCGTTCGTAAATTTAAACAGAGATACACCACTCAATACACCTTAAGAAACTCGTATATTGTATAACCTTATTAAGTACTTATAGAACACGGTCATAAAAATTACTGTTTAATAAAATATGGTGAACAATTAACTACTACTCTTTTCAATGTTATTATTGACTCACTGTAGAAATATGATTATTCTTCGTTTCGTTTTATAATATATATATCAACCAATAATATATCATCAACACATTTTTCATAAACCATTGCAGATATGCAGGATATACAGATACGGACAAATGAGCCAACTATTGCAATCCGGGGAAACATTTCAAATACACTTGTATAGTAAATTGAAACCCTGAAGATGTACATAAAGGACAGAAATCATTAAATGAATGCAATGTATTCGTATTCGTATTCAATGTTTATGTTTACCCCGGCTAATATTCTGAAAATGTTAGCATGCGAGTAAAATAAATATGACTAAAAGTATGGAAAAATTAAATATTTTTTAATCAAGTAATGTCATGGAAAAATCTTCTTATATTTTGTTTTAATAAAATATTTTATAATCATCGCATAAGAAAATTGAACTTGAAAATTTCTTGCCGTTTTTAGTACAGAGGGTTGAGTACGTTATATTAAAACGATTTTGAACCTTTAACACGTCGTTAAAGTCCATGTTGCGAAGTCCTGTCATGCTCTAGCTAACGACCGTGTGGTTGACAACAACCCTTCAGTGTAGTTTCTAGTGCAAAAGGCTGATTCGTAAATTTGTAATGTCCAAAGCTTACCATTCCTCCGTGGTTGCTTTCCAGAAGCCAACTAGCATATGAAGTCGACGATTTCTCAGTGCCCGTTTCAACTGAAATTCAAAGGCGGCGCTGCATCAGGCTATCTGACTGGTATGTCTTCATAGAGAACATCGTGAGTACTCGTTTCATTCTCCAGCTGCTTAAGATATGCCATGTTCGGTAGTACAACTGTAAGCCTTATCTTCGTGAACCCATACCCTGTTGTCCTCGTTTCTAGACGGAGATACTTCTTGATTATGTTGTGTACTTTTTGTACACAATGGATGGTTTTTGCCTCTGGCATTTGTATTTTTACCTGTTACAAGATACCGCACTTTGATTACCACGGTTGGGGTACGACTTGTTGCAGGTTTCTGTCTGGGTAGTCTTACTGCCCAAGTTGATCCACATTTCCCTTGTTTCCCAAGCCATTAAGTGTATTAAGTAAATCTCCGAAACGAACAAACCTTTATGACCCGAGTGTATGAAAGTTTTGCGCCGGAAAGTGCTCTAATATAATACCCGCAAAGGCGATCAGTTTTTCGGTGGAATCACACTACCTGCTAATCGCCATTAAAAATGCAGTTCTGACACATTCCGTTCCACCACGACCTTACATTAGGTGTGGTTGATATGCGATGTGCTGAATTACGTATTCCAAATGGTGTTAATATAACTTACTCAACCTATTTGATCCTTTAATGCAGAACATTTAGCTCGACGATTTTGTATCAAAATAACCGAAAAGTTACGTATACAGTGAAGAAAACGAAATTTTTTCAATAATTCTTAGTTATATTTGAGTAATCTAGTTAATGAATTATTTAATGGTGATCATGAAAACTGGAAGTGTTTGTATTATACCCAATTCTTAAAAAAAACTTGACTGAAAACCGGAATTTGGTATTAATAATTAATGATTAGGTTAGTTTCAATTGTGTACACAAGAAGCTATGAAGTTTAAAATGAATATATATCTGATTGACGGGCATCATCTTTACTCAACCAATTTACCATTGTTCGTGGTAAGACTTATAAGAGTAATCACAAAGAGCTACAAACTTACAGCTTTACAAGCGTAAGCCATGAGGCTGGCAGTTTTCATAAATGTTTTTTGGAGATAGTGGGAAAATCTTTCCCCTGCATCTTCTTTGGACCCTAGTTGCATCAGTTCTCCTTGTACTAGGTCTAGTAGCACCTGTAAAATAATATCAAGTTTGATTAAGGAAACAATTTAAAACGAAGATAAAGATGCTGTAAAGATACAATAAAGTAACTTTCAAGTATTGTTTTTCAAATGTTATAGAGAATGTAATTTTCAATGTTTTTATTTTACTCTGTGTGTGTGTCGTAGATATTTTGTTTAGATTGAATGCAGTAGACGACTAGTAACAATTTTATTGTTTAATCATAAATAACACTTTTTTATAATATAGACGAATAATAATAATACTCTGTTTTTCAACATAATCATAGCAAAACATGTTTATTTTTAAAAAACAAGTAAAGAGCCAATTTTTAGATCTTTCTGCAAATATCTGCTTCTTATGTGATGATTTAAATAGTTCATTCAAGACAAGTTGTTCCGTTCGATTTCATTTCGACACTTATACAATCGAAGTTCTCGAATCTGAGGGTCACGGGTTCGAATCCCACCCTTTCAGCCGTGAGGGCGTTATAATGTGACGGTCAATCCCACTATTTGTTGGTAAAATAGTAGCCCAAGAGTTGGCGGTTGGTGGTGATGACTAGCTGCCTTTCCTCTAGTCTTACACTGCTAAATTAGGGATGGCTAGCGTAGATAGCCCTCGTGTAACTTCTCGCGAAATTCGAAACAAATCAAACGAAGTTTTCAAATGTTACCTTTCAGTTTCACTTTTTTCAACGATATGATTCTGGAATGTTATTTGTTTGCTGTTGTTGTTTTTTCACGATCTGCATGATCTGGTAAGTTCAAAGAACCGTTTCCGTTTACTAGATTCTGGCGTTTTAACACTGTCATGAGTTTATTTGTGCTTTTATTAAACATTAGCGCTTGGTTTTTCTTTCCTCGATTATTGACAATAGGTAAGAAATCATAGGCCAATGAAGATACATCATTAATGCATCAAAAATTTTATATGGTTTGACTCCGGCAAGATAATAAGTGTGTAATAAACAGTCATCACTTGCCTGTGTCAACATGATAACAACTTCTTCATTCCCAATACGAGCAAGTATCTTGGCTGCTTTGGACAGTATAAAATCTCCAGCTAAGATTGCCTAGAGTAAAAGAAAAGGAATTATTTGGATGATGAAGTATATATATATATTTTTAAGTGGAAATTATTTCCTAAGCTTCGAGAACATTATTATTGTTAGCTGTTTTCTTATTGTTAACTAATTTCCCTTATTCCTCACCATGACTAGATTATTCACACACATATTTATACTAAAAGGAGACACAATATTTTAATGTCACGTGGTAGATGAAATGTATTATATTTTACACTTGGTTTTCGGAAAAGAACCTCCATCTGTTATACCCTGGCTAAGGGCCAGCATATGTTTTGAAATTATGTGAATATGGGTTTTGACACTCTAAATTTTAGGTCTGAAGGCTTATAACGCTAAAATTCGAGAGCACAAATAGTCTATTGTTCAGTTTTGTGCCAAAACGGATTTCACATTATGATAAAATGGGTTTTCCAAGTAAGCAATGTATAAAAAATCATCCTCTATAAAATATCAATATTATTTGTTAAATAGCATAAAATTAAATTACTTTGCTGTAATATTGTTTAAGAACACATCATACCAAATAAGCGAGAATTCCTAATTTTCCCATGTAATTGAATATTCATTTTATTTTTTAAATATAATTCATTAATTACTTTCAAAGACTTATATTAGCTATAAATGGTCTATCTGCACTATATCCTGGAACCCGATCCTCGGTTTTTAGCGTTGTAAGTTTATAAAGTTACCCTTGACCCACCAGGAATTATACATGGGGAACAATTACCACTTTTCAAATGTACGAAGAACACACAAACAGGATCATCGGGCAACATTATAACCTAATCTCTGAACTAAAAAGTATAAAGTTTACTTTTTCAAAAACCTCATTTTCAATGAAATGAAATACTAGTAGTTTTTATTGAATATCCAAGTGGGTCAAAAATTTAAAACTTGTCCGTTTTTAATAAGCATTTCTTTTCTGATTTCCATTAAATTTTACATAACTAAAAAAAAAACATTAATATTAGGCTTATTATATTTTTAAATACTTGTGACAAATATAATTGTAATCATGGTTGTACGAAAGAGATTTCGAGTATAAAAGAAGTACTTTTCTGGACATAGGACTTTTGGCAAAGTGGTTAAGATCTCTGATGCTAATCTCCTTGCATCTACCGACTCCTGAAGATTAGAAGCTGACGTCGGGTGTACCAGGAATGGTTGATTGGCCATTGCTTTTGAAGATCAATCTTGGCATAAGGGAAGCATAGGTGACTAAGGACCACTGAGGCAAAATGTCACCTAGAATCTAAAACCATATGAAGTGGCTTTTACAGTACTCCCAGGCCATCATTAGCTTTAGTCAAGGTCATCCAAGAACAGCTGAGAATGAATGTACGTACTGTTGGTGAGCAACTTTCTGCCAGTCAGACGTGTTTCCCTGGCCGGTACCAGGAAAGCCATGAACCATGGATAAGTAATGAGCCTCTCCAAGCTGGGAGGTATTGTGCGAGGATGACTATGGATTGCAATGAAATCTGAGGTCGTGGGGAGCTTCAGAATGAGCTGGCAAGGGCCACTAAGTGTTCTGCTACCATGGATCAGAGACTGACTATTCATCTGCGTGTTATGACACTTTAATATATATACTTCCTTATATCCAAGACAATGATGGCATCTCAGCAAGGTGTTAGCAGAGAACCTACAAGGCAGAGGCTTTGACAAGCACCACAGGTCACTGTGAGTGAAGTTAAGCAGATTTTTCACCCAATGTTTAAAGGTTTGGCACAGGAAGATCTGGATTGTTTCCCAAAAAAATCAGGTAGGTAACTGCTTGGCAAGGCTGTACTCCAGAGCATGTAGTCCAGCTCTGAATTCCATTTTGCATTTGGACAATGCATAACAATAGTAGGGCCCGCTAGAATCCGGGTTTCGATACCCGTGGTGGGCAGGGCACAGATGGCCCATTGTGTAGCTTTGTGCTTAACTTCAAACAAGAAAACAAAAACAAGACAACAAGAGTAACATTCATAGTTGATTTGACCCAATGAAGAATTGAACAATTCATTAAGCCGAATTTAAAGCTCAGAAACAAAGCACTACCAAGGGTCTGGTCATCTATGTAGGTAATCTGCACTGTCTGAATGGTTCAAATTATATTGTGATGGCTTCAGCAAATTGTGAAGATATACTCATTGATAAGTATTTTCAAAAGGCTTCCCAAGAGACCAACTGAGTGCGAGGATATCTATTTCTTAAATGAGGCAGTTTCCATTATGGGCACCCCCCAGTGGCACAGCGGTATTTCTGTGAACTTACAATGCTAGAATCCAGGTTTCGATACCCGTGATGGGCAGAGCACAGATAAAACCCCATGTGTAGCTTTGTGCTTAATTACAAACAAACCATTATGGGCATGCATGAAGTTGTAGCTTCAAGCTGGTAATTAGAAAGGAAGAATCCTGCAGTGACAGCTGCTATGGCTATACCTTAAATGGACTGTTCTACTCAGGCACCTCCACCATGTTAAGTTTAAGCCATGCTGAAGGTTATGAGGCCATTCACAAAAATCCTGGTGTTGTGGTGCAACCACACTGGATTTTAGTGAATGGGTAGGGCTATCCAGATTTACCCATGGGTTTATATGCTACAGCCTAGAACTATGATGCCTACAGCTGGATGTCATGCAGGACAAGAAATGTGATGCTTCTACTTTTATTATGATTTGTTGTAGTACAGTAAATGTAGCAATGGCTCAGTAGGTGCTAGAGAACCAATAACACCTGCAATTTGCCAACCTGCAAAGTAGGCATGGCTATTGGTTTCATTCAATGGCTCAAGAGGTACAGGTAAAGCAATAGTGTATAGGAAATGCTGCTGAAACAACTCTGAAAACTGAAGGAGCTGAAGTTGGGTCTGGCTTTCAAGTTGGGGAAGCGTAATAAATATCTTGCACCAAGCAATTTGGTGATCATCTCAGTTATATGAGGGTTAGATCGTCATTGGTACGTATATGTTTCTTGGTTTATAATACAGGCAGCCAGAACAGTGATAGATTATGCAATGCATCAAGTTCAGCAAATAAGAGCAGGCCAGTGGATGATCACTTTGTTCTGGCAAATGGAAATAGGCTAGACATAAATGGAGAGGTATAACTCTTGCAGTTGTGTCTACGAAATGTCACTTACAGAAAAGGTGGTAATTTCCAATGTTTGATCTGGCATTGACATCCTCAGGATAGATTTAGTGCAGTAATTATCCATCAATTTTGTCTGCACATCAAGAGAGCTAATGTTCTGTGGGGTGTTATCTGATGTCAGCTAGACTGGGCCTAGGAACAGTAGATTGCATGAATGTATGTAATGAATGGAATAACATAAACACAACATTTTTTAAACACAATTTCTGTTCTGTGGTTGAGTAAGGAATACACTTGTGCATTGGTACACTAATGTATCAGTAACATGTTATGCAGTTATAGAAGCCCCAAATAAAATTAACTGTTACATTGCCAGAAAGTCACCAACATTAATTTCAACAGTTATTTGCCTTAGGGGGGGGGTGAAGTCCTGGTGCTTTTTGGTAATTATGGGTAATTTCCTATGCAAATATATGCTGGAATGGTCAAAGATATTATAAGAAAAGTGGAAGTAACCAAGGCTAGCACTAAAACTAGGGTATCATCTGCCACACAGTGGCTGAAAGTAAATACAAGGGTCCCACACATCTGAAATTGTTGGTTGTGCAAACAATCTAGACTGAACATAGCAAATCAACTCAATGATTTGTTGGTTGAATATGCTTATGCATTTTTGGGACTGGATGATCAACTGGAATGAACAGCTGTGATTTACCCAACAAAGATACAGATGATGTACATCAAATATATCAACCACAGCAATACATTTTCTGAACCAGTAGGTTATAGCCAGCACTGAACTATAGTAGATGTTGAAGTATAAAACTTTAAAACCTTTGGAAACTACTTGGTTATTTCCAGTAGTGATTGTCAGGATGAAGGAAGGTACATCAAGTTTCTGTATTGAATTTCATACTGGCAAATTGAGCTGGACAGTGAGAACAGATTTAAAACTACTTTTAGTAAATAGATACTTGTATGACTTTGACATTATGCTATTTGGTCTGTATAATGCATCTGTTACTTTCAAGAGGGTAATGGAGCTTACACTGAAGAGCTGTAATTAGAGAGAGACCTGGTCTACGTTGACAGTGCTTTAATGTTTGGTTACAAGTTCGAGTCTGCAGCTGAGAACCTGAGAGTAGTATTACAGTGAATAAACAAAACAGGGTTAAAACTGTAACTAGAAAAATATGTGCTTATGCATGGTAGAGTTTCTCTGTCACTTGTAGGTAAAGATGAAGTCTCTACAGACCCTGCAAAGATAGCAGTGGTAAGAGACTGGCCTCAATCAGTGATCAAGAGAGAAGTCCAGAGTGTACTTGTTTATGTGGTTTGTGGCTACCTTCTTCAAGATAGCTACATAATTGTTTGCTTTAGCTAAAACTGTTATAGACTTTGAATAGAACAAGGAATATGAACAAGCAATGCAATCCCTAAAGCAATAATAGAATTATGCAAAGTTTGGAAAGCATCAATCAATGCTGGTGCTTTTGGCCGCATTTGAGTCGAGATGTTGGGTGCTGGTCTGTATATTGTATGCCATGTTTCACCCAGAGTATAATAACTCCAACAGAGAAGTATTGAGTCTTCTTTGCAGAGGATAGCTCTGGATAATGCTGGTCCAATTCTGGAGACTGTAAGATGTCATCAGTACTTGCTCATTGTCATTGACTACTTCATAGAGTGTGTCAAGGATTATCCACTAGCTGATACATGGACACAGTCCATAGTTGATGATAGTGGAACACTGGGTAGTGCAATTTGAAGCACCAGAAGAGATCCAACTGTATCAGGGAGCTATTTTTAACACCTAATTGTTCTTCAGTTATTATGTGTGTAATGATGATGTTCAGTTCGCCTTATTACCCCAAGTCAGATGGTTTTGAAGAATGGATAATAC